CACAAGGTTTTCAAAGGTTATCTTTATGGATTTCTTTGGCTTAAACCTAACGTATTCCCACATGTATGTTTTGCTTTAACCATCCCAGTGTGCTTGGGATTACATGGGCACATCAACCTAGTTTATATGTGCTTTTTCTGTATTCTTTCTTCATCCTCTTTCATCAGATGGTCTTTTGCATCATTCAAAACTCACAGTCCACTGTCTACTGCCTCTTAGAAGGACTCCCTGACTGTATGAGGACTGTGTTAGGAGCAGTTTATGATCCTCCTTTATTCACCCACAATTTTCTCCTTCATCTAACTATAGATATCCTTTCAGTGTCTTAATGGTTTGTTTCAAGCAAAGAACCATATCTCATTACTCTTTATAATGACAAGCTGGTTGGTAGAGTCTTCACAGTATAGCAGGTTACACAAACTTTGCAGACAGTCAGACTAGGTTTAAATTCTGTCCCTTTCATATTCTACAAATGAAACCTTTCCAGGATGCTTAAACTCTCTGTGTAGAGATGCCTCAAATCACAGTGAGCACATAACATAAATTCACTGGTTTATTTTAAATATTAACAAAATGATAAATGTAAAGTCCTAATATATAGGATATACTATAAATTATACATGAACTTGTACCTGGTTCTGTAATCTTACTGTGAAAAGCTAGTACATTTTTTATATTTCCCCAAAGCAGAGCTGATGACTGTGAGCAAGGCTCTGGGAAGGCGAGATGTTATTAGCAACTGGAAGGTCCCTGAGGACACACAGACACACCTGGACAGGGCCAAACTTAGCCTCCAGATCAGCGGGAGGCACACAGAGCTAAGTCTACTGCCACTGGGACAGCTGGTGTGGCAGAGAGGCAGAGCAGGGACTGGCACCTGCACCTGCCCAGGTGGCCCACATTGTCCGCTGCTGGACACCATCACACTGAGGCCCGTCCATCCTGATGGCTGTACTAGGAAACCTCACATTTCTCTGTAAGCCCAGACTTCTCCTTTTCACAGGTCAAACTCAGCCCTAGTACATTCTTTAGTGGACTGTGTGGTTCCATATGCTCTAGCCTCTATCTTCTATGAGTGTTGGCTGCTAAAAGCTCATAATTGAGTCATTCTCCCTTGGATAAAAAGCTGATTCACCCAAGACTACTTTTCCTTTCCAAGTGCTTCTCTTGCTCAATGACAGGTCTATGTTTGAATACAAAGACCTGATCCTTTTTCTTCAATCTGAGGGACAATCTCAGCTCAAGAGCAGCCCCAGGGAATCAGCTCAGGCATCTAAATCATAATTTAACTTCTGACTCCTGTCCATCCTGCTCCTCTCACTCCATGACAGGTGTCACTCCAAGTATATTTCACAGTACACTTCCTGCATGCAAATCTCTGCCTCAGTATCTGTTTCCAGAGAACCCGATCTAAAACAAGTGTCACTGACCTCAGGTGAACTGGGTGCTCTCATTCTTTTCTGAGATGCAGTGGCAGGCCCACAGACATCAACTCCAGCACCATAGCAAGTTCCCAGTGAGATAAGCTTGGCCCTCCTCTATCATATCTGCCCATCACCAAGAAAACCCTCCTACAAGTCCGCCAGGAGCCATATTCTCCGTGGCAACAGTGCGTCAAGTGCATGATATTTTCATTCATCCAGTCAGCAAATATTTCATACATGGCTGGTGGGAAGCCTCATTTGTTCATTCATTCATTCAACAGATATTAAATCAAATGCATTTATTCTGCTACATGTTGGAAATAACAATTAGTATGATAAAAGGGCCCTTGTCACGATGGGTCATGGCATGATATATGTTAAATATAATCACAGAAAGAACTAATAACAGTGATAAGTGGTATAAATTAAAACTACAGAGTGTTAAAGCATATACTAAGAGAACCTTTTCAGTCAGAGGTTCCCTCCCCCAATTCAGGTTAGTGACCAGAAACTGCATTAAAAGTGAAGGGAGGTATGGGGGTAGGCTGAGGATACAAAATCCCTGAGGCTGGAGAGGAGGGGGCTTGGCATTGTGGGAGGCCTGAATGATCATAAACTTGAAGGTGTGGGTCTCCGGAACTGAGCCTGGGGTGTGAGCAGGAACCACAGCAGCGTGGTTTAGGTCCCGGAAAGGGCAGTGGAAAGTCATGAAGATTCTAAGCGGAACGTTGAGACACAATCAGAATCTCATTACCAAGTATCATACTGGGAGAATGCACAAAAAAGGGTAAAGCACAGAGGCAGGGAAACCTGTCGGGAACAAGTGCAGTGATCCCTAGACAGGTTCAAGGATGTGTCACGGGAATAGGTAAATGAGGTAGTGGTGTTTGGGGGAAAGAAACCAAGGATATGAAAACCCAGATTTTCAAAGTGCCATTCCCATGGATACTAAAGTCTCCCTCCAGGATTATGGGTGACCAAATAACAGAGGCGATATTAACCAAGTCATTATTTAATGAAGGAGAACAACCAGGAGAGATAGCAGTAACTGGGGTGATAGGGATGCTATGCCTGGATGACATGAACCTCAAAAATACCTGTCTGTACTTGCTTGCCAGACTGTTTTTACAAAGGCTGGAAGTTGCATTTGGGAACAAGGACGGTGAACTCACTGCCAAAACAGAGGCAGAAGTGTGTAAGAAAATTAGTGGTCCCCACTTAGTAGGAAGTATAACACTTTTGCCAGAATAAAAATGGGAATCATGAGAGCACGAGCTTCATATGCATTTTGTAGACATTATATGAGAGAGTTTATGTGCAGTTTTTTCTCAAACGCTCAAGGTACCATTGAGTTAAGAGGTGGTCACACAGGACCTGCTCATATTATTAAGATTTCTATTAATACAAAACATTCAGACAAAGATTGTTCACAACTAGTTTGCCCAAAGCATCATCCTGTACCCTCTGTGGAATCTTCCTCTGCAATCCTGCAGCTGCTCTTCCTCACCTGCAGATCCTGTTCCCCTCCCACCCATGGAGCAGGGATGAGAGAAAGATTGGGGGCTAGGTGGGAGGGGCATCTCCACTTTCTGTCCTTTCTTTTAAGAGCTATCTTCTAAGAATATTCAAGATTAATATTTAGCAGAGGAAACATGGAATCATCAAGTATGACATAGAGCAGAAGCCACTTAGGAGAAACATTAAGGTGGACTCCCCCCAGGGACCATAAGTTTAACCCTAAGCCTCCACCTACCCACCCAACAACACAGGCCCATAGTCTTCTAAACCCTGGTCATTCACAGCATCTCTTAAAGCTGACGCAACACCCGGTCCCAGTCCTGCCCAGGGCCTCCCACTGAGAATTAGTACTCTATAACTTAGATCCAATCTCTACCGCAGAACTCTCACGTTTTATCATATCTGTATTTCAAATTCATTTCATCATCACACTAAGAGCCTGGTAAATACTCAGGATGAGGAAGAAAATAATGAAGAAAAGGAAGACAAATGCGATTTTTGTTTGTTCTATGCTTATACACAGCAGTTGTCCACCCTATAAGAGTAACTATGCTTTCCAGAGCATCTGCACAGGGTTCATAATACCACCAGCTGAAATTACATTAAAAAGCCTAAGTTAAGGTAATATTAGTCATGATGACAGCAGCAAAAACAGCAGAGTTAATAGTGATTGTGATTGTGATGGTAGTTTTGTGATGTTTCATTTCTTCGGTAGTTATTATTGAATGCCTGTGTTACATTCTGGAGATTTATGTATTCAGTTAATCAAACACACATATGTCAATGTGACTGATGAGAAAACATGTTGATTTGACACAGTCCATTAAAATAATGAGATTTATTTATTAAGCAATCATTTACTGACAGCCAATCACATGCAAGCACAATTCTAAAAATACAATACAATTCACCATTTATAGGGATGGGTGACAGAGATCGTTCAACCAATCATTACTGATATAATTACAAAGTGTGGTAGATAATGAAAAATATACACAGAGTTCTGAGTTCATAAAACAAGTGACCTGATCCAGTTAGAAAAGTCTTCTTTAGGGAGGTGAGGTTTGAACTGAGGTTCAAGATGAACAGGAATGGCAAGGATAAGACGAGGGAGGTGCATTCCCATTAGGATGAACCCGGACTGCCCATGGCTAGAGGAAACGTGGACACTTAAGGAACTGAAGAAGGGCATTTATGTATATTAGGAATATGGAACATTCAACACTACATGTATAGCAAGTGCCAACAGTAGGAACAGGAAGAGAACAACCAAGAGGGTTAGGAAGGAAAACAGAAAACGACACAAGAATTAGAACAATAATTATTAGATCTCTCCATACCTGGAGACTAAAATTGAAGAAATAAAACAATTATCATTACTCTCAAAGGTTAAAAATACATAAAACTGTAGAAGCTATAGAGGGTCATCCATCTCAAAAACAGGCTGAAAAAGCACATGAAATAAAGAAACTAGCTTCATTTGCATTGCTGGAGTCAGATGGAAAATGAACATTTTAAAGAGTTTCTATCATGAACTTGAAATTCTAAAGTATCTCCTTAGTTTGCCACCACTGTTTCTGTGATGCCAAAGTTGTGGTGCTAGAGAGGGCCCACCCAGCACAACAGACTGCCTATGTGTCAGTGTGGTGGTGGTTACAGGTGGCCCATGTTTTCTTATGTTCAAAATAGCCACAGTTCATCTCTCGCTGATCTCCTAAACCACCTGATCCAGGTCCATCAAGGTCCTCATTGCTTCTCCTTTATCTGATGCATTTATCTTGTCAATGTAAGTAAATCATAAACTTTTAGAAGAAAAAGGTATCAAGAGAATTTCTGGCTAATTAATCACCTGAGATACCCCAGCCCTTCTCAGTTTTCCAACCCAACATCTAAATATTATGCCAGAGAAGAGGTTTCCCAACTCCAAAACACTCAGGATAACATCATGTGCTTTCTCTTCTTCAGTGGTCCCACCAGATAAATGACCTGGGTGGTGGGGCTCCCGTACCAAGGAGAAGGTCACCCTGGCCCCTAAGCTCAAGCTGATGAGAACCATACTCAAGTGGAATCAATCCTCTTGGGTTTTAGAATTTTAAACACTTGCTCCCGGATCTTCTTGGTCTTGACCCCATAGACAATGGGGTCCAGTGCAGGGGGAAAGAGCAAGTAGAGACTGGCAAGGATGACCTTGGCAGCAGAGGCCATGGGAGGGCCAAAGCGCTGCATGACCACGGAAAGAAAGCCTGGTCCATAGAAGAAAAAGATGACACAGATGTGAGCCGTACATGTGCTGCCTGCTTTGGCACGTGCCTTGGGTGAAGGAAAATGAATCACAGTCCTCACAATCTGCCAGTAGGAGTAGAGGATAAAGGCCACATCTCCCACACCAACAAAGATTGCCACAGCAAAGGCATAGAGGTTATCCACAGCAGTGGCCCCACAAGCCAGCTTTACCACTGCCATATGCTCACAGTAGGTATAGGCAATTGTGTGGGAGCCACAGTAGGGCAGCCGATGAGCCAGGCTTGGAAAGGAGATGGTCAACCCCACACCTCGAAGCACTACCACGCCTCCAATCTTGACAACAACAACTGGGGTAAGAATGGTGGGGTAACGCAATGGGTCACAGATGGCCACAAGGCGATCCAGGGCCATGGCCACCAGCACTCCCGACTCCATGGCAGAGAATGCATGGATGAAGAACATCTGCAAAAAACAGGAGTGGGAGCTGATGGCTGTAGCATCAAACCAGAAGATGGCGAGCATCTTGGGCAGAGTGGACAGGGAGAGGACCAGGTCGACAAAGGAGAGCATGGCAAGAAAGAAAAACATGGGCTGGTGAAGGCTACATTCTGTCCAGGTGAGAAAAAGCAGGACACCATTCCCAGTCACTGCCAGGAAGAACATGAAGCAAAAGGGAAGTGAGATCCAAATGTGGGCAGCAGTCAGTCCTGGGATGCCAGCCAAGAAGAAAGTACGTGGGAAAAGATGAGAATTATTGGAAAGAACTGTGATAATCATTTCACCTAGAAGCGCGAAGGGCCACTGCAAAGAAAGGCAGAAAGGTTAAATTCACTGATGTAGGGATTGTGAGGTCAAGATATATGGTCTCACTACCGTATATCATCACCCATTCCTTCACAGTTCTCAGAAAATAGTCAAAAATAATTTTTATTCATAAGAAAGCTTAAGAATTTTCTATCATAGCCACATTATTGAGAACAGAAGAGAAAATAGGCAAATACTCCCTGCAATCCCATTATCCATGTAATTACAAAAAGGGTACAAAATTAGTCAGATCCACCATAGGTATTGTGCCCAATGCCCTTATTTTCTAGGTTAGAATACTGAGGTCTAGAAAGACGTCAATGGCCAAGGGTCACATATCTACTTATTGACAGAATTGGACAAGAGCTCACATCCACTGACGGCTGAGCAGGGAAGTCACCGTCCTGTCTCCACGCTGGCAGTGACCACTGCAGGGCCGAGGGAGAACACCCAGGGCCCTGGGACCATGGGCGGGAAGCAGAGGAATCAAATAGCAGGGCAGAGCAAGAATGATTTGGGGATTACCAGCATCCCCCCACCCAGTACCTCCAGGACCACAATCCTCTCATGTGAAAACAACAACACAAGGACACACAGAGACCTGAGCTCAGGGTCTGAGAGGGCATTGGAGGATAACTGTTCATATTCCCAGCAGAAAAGATGCTGCAGGGTTGATCTCACAGTTTCAGTGAGAGCAAAAGGAGCTCTCTGAGCATGAGGGAAAGGAGAAGTCAGCCCATGAGCATACTCCAAGAAAGACCATCAGAGCTTTAAAATGCCCAAGAACATTTTGGTTTTCTCTCCAAGAGAAACCTCATAATTGTTTCCCATACTTTCAACCACAGCTACTCAGGGAACTATGTGATGACAGCAGAAACTATGAGAGCTGGAAAGACGGGAGATTAGAGCGTACCTATTGTTCTGGTGTCAGGGAATAAACTCAGGACCAGAGGTCAGGATCCTGATTCAAGATGCTATTTCCGTGACATGTCAGCTGTGTGACTTCAAGCAAAGCATAACCATCTTCAGGCCTTTGTTTATTCACACGTAAAATGAGTGTTCTCTAAAATATACCTCAGAATCATTCTGAGAATTCAATGATATATGTGAGAATTCTTTGTCAAATGATCAAAAATAGTAATACTATTTTCACTGAATTATAAGAAATGAGGGATGCATTAGGAAGACTCTGGTTAAGAATGACAGAAACTTCAAAGATTCAGAGACAATGCATGTGACTTGACAAGAGATCCATCCCATGGCAGATGTTCTGCAGTAGTGACATGGAGCCACCCAGCCAAAAATACCACACCCTCCCCAGCATTGCTCCCTTCTTCCTCCCAATTGCATACAGTCCCCCCTGATCCCACAAGCTATGGTGTGGAGTGGGAAGGCACTGAAGCATGTCCAGGAGTGTGGCCCTAACCACATGAGCATCTGCTTCAAATTATCCTCCAAGCTGCCCACCCTTAAGCCTTAGCCCACACTATGGAACATAACAGCATCTCAGAACAGTGTAAGAAATAATGACACCTGACACCCCAACTATCCCCTCAGGTCCCAACAAATGTTCCTCATTAAAATGTTATGCCTCAAGGAAAAGGCTGACCCAGTAAGCTCAGCAACTCCCCCTCCATGAGAAGTAGGTAAAGGGCGATAAGGGATCCTAGAACCAGAAGAATCCAGGTTCCCTGTGACTCACTATGTGGGCTTCAAAAAGGCACAGATTTATAAATAGCACCCTGTTGAGCCACGAATAGAAGGATATTTTTGCCTGCTTGAGAGGAAGTAATTCTCCCACACCCAATCCCTCCCATGCCTGTGTTTCTACACCATAAAAGGTCCACACAGACCTCTGATAGTGTATACACCACCAGCACTGGTGGTATTTCCAATCCGCCCTAACCATATCAGCACCACTCACTTCCACCCCAGACGGCCTATCAGATGATCCAGATCTGAGATGGTTGGGGGAAAGCTAATTCGTTGACAGAGCCTGTGCAATCTCTCTCCCATGGACCTACCATTAGCCATTACTCACCAAAGAGCTGCCCTGAATGGCCTACAGTGGGATGAGAAGTTAAGATACTAGTCAGGCCCCTAGGAACAGGGTTTTAATGAGCACCTTTCCAGGCATTGCCTGTAGGGATCCAAAGAGAAACTCCCACCACCCAGATACCAATTAGTACTTCTGCCTCCTCTTCAAACAAAGGTCTAACAAGCTCTCTTCCATTTCCTGGGGCCCCAGGGAAGAGCTCCAGCAGGGAATGTTTTGAACAGCATACTCCAGAGTACCACGTCGGGAGAGGGCCAGAGCCCTGCAGCTGTAAGCAAGAAGAGGCTTCCTGACATGGGAGAATGGGACCATCTGAGTTGATGGCCAAGCAAGATCTGATCTAGGGAGGGGAAGAGGAGGGCATGGAGATGGGGAGGAGCACCACCAGGACTGGCATACATTACCTAGATGACCCCTGTGACATAAGTGGAACCGTGAGAGGAACAATTGATTACTAGGTGGGAGTCTTTATGAGACGAGAGAACCTGGCTGGGGAATAAGGCTGGAAAAGACGCCAAGTATCTCCAGTGCCTGAACTCAAAATGCCAAGTATAACAGGAGGTCAAGTCCTACAGTTACTGCCATGCATATATTATCACACCTTACTAGTGAAATTACCCACAACTCTTCTCTTCTTCACCAATCTCTGTACATTGGACTCTCATCTCAGTCACCAAAATCACCCCTGAAAATGATGCCAAATTAATCTATAGGAGGATAGTCAAGAGTATGAAGGATCTGGACATTGCATTACTTTGAGAGGAACTGGAGAAATGTAGCGTGCACAGCTTACACTGGAGAATGCTTGTGGTGGCGTGCATGATCTTTGTGGATTCTTCAGATCCAGGAAGAAACTCCCCCTGGAGAAAAAGTGATTTGTTTTATGAAGCAAGGTTAAAATAAGAACAAACATATGCAAATTTATAGTTCAGGACTCAGGATGTGGAGTTCATGTCTTCAGAAGGATAACCCCTTATCAGAAAGACAAAGGTCAACACATATCTCTATTAGAGCACAAGGGTGGTTGGGAAAGGTAGGTACCCAGAATCAATCATTGATTTAGGAAAGCCATGCTCTAGGGTACTGACCCAGCTCTGGAGAGAACACAACATAGCAGGTGTCATTTCTGGTAGAGTCAAGATTATGAACCCTAACATAAAGCACTAAGTCTTGTAACAGAGAAGTCAAGCTTGGTAACAGGAAGCTTAAGATGGATGATGCACATAAGACAGATGACACCCCTGAAACTGCAGGAGACAGATGTTATGTTAAAAACACCAGCCCAGAACCGCATGCAGAAGGAAGCAGCAGGCAAGATAAGCAGCAAGAGCAATATAAAGGCCAGTCCAGGAGGAACCGAGGGGTAAACTGGTAATGGGAACCGGAACTCAGGCCCAGAAAATAAGAAAAAGTCTAGAACTGGCACGTTAGATCAGTGTGACTATGGACCACCACCCTGAAACTCTGAAACCCTTGCCTAAAGTCAGAAATTATATAAAAACATCAAGAGATTGGAAAGAGACTGAAGATCCAAAAACAGTCAAGAGGTTTGGATCAATCATTTAGATCAAAAAAAAAATTTCCTGAGTCCCTCTTAAGGTTGTTGAAAGAAAAACAGAGATTTTAAACAGCATCAGGTGGAAACTACACAGCACACTTAGAGTACCAAAGGCAAAGCAGAGGTACACACAAAGGTCTGTGGCTACACCCTGGGGAGGCAGAAACACCTTGAAGAGGGCATCTAATTATGCCTGTGGGGGCTCAGGGAAGACAACACATGAGGCAACATGGAAAAGTTGAAGAGTGTAAAAAGAATATTCTAGAATGACTCACTAGCATAAAAAAAGTACACCAAAACTCACAAATTACAGAATTCTTGGTGAACAGTTAAAAGACCACTGATGAGGGAGCAGTGAAGAGGGATGAGATTTGAGAGGGAGACTGGACCCAGACTGCAACCAGTCTGAAGTGCTCTTCCAAAGAGCACTAGGTGTTAATAAGAGGTCAAGGAAGGCAACGTACAAGGAAATTGTTTGAGCAGGGCAGTGGTATCGGTAGGTGCGTGCTTTAATCGACTTCTTTCACAATGCTCTGGGCAGAGAAGGAGGGACATAATACAGAAGGGGTCCAACTTGGAGTAAACCTGGAAGACAGCATGGCAATGTGGCAAAAAGCTGGAAATTGAACCCAGTCTTTAGTGGTGAATTCTGTCAAACATTTAAGAGAGAAACAGTAATAATCCTATGCAAACTTATAGAAAATAGGAGAAGAGGGGCCACTTTCCAACCAACTTTGTGAGGTCAGTATTAACCTGAAAATAAAACAAAATAAAGGTACTGCAAGATAGGAAAATCCAGACCAGTATTGCTCATGAACAGTGATATGAAAATCCTTAACAGATGATTAGCAAATAATACCAAATAATATATAAAAAGGATAATGAGAAGGCAGGGCTTTCCTGAGAATGCAAGATAATTTACCATTCAAAAATATTTTTCATCACATTAACAAAATAAAGGATGAAGAGAATACATATCACCTCAAAAGAGACAAAAATAAAAGCAAAATCAACATTCATTCATAATAATAGAAAAAACTCTCATACTATAAATAATAGGGAAGATCCCAAACATGAATTTTACAAAGAATATCTATGTAAAAACTACAGCATTATTACACATAATGGTAAAAGACTAAAGGCTCTCTCCCCAAAATGAGAATTAGGTGAGGAAACCCACTCTCACCACTTGTATTCAGCATTGTGCTGGAGGACCTAACCACTGGAAGAAAACAAAAAAATCAAGTAAAATCGTATGGATTAGAAAAAAAGAAGTAAAAAGATGATCACTGGCAGCCAAAATGACTGTCATGTAGAAAAGCCTAATATCTGTACTAAGTTAGCAGGTTCACAGTACAC